TCCCTTTCCCTCTCCCTTTCTCTCTCCCTCTCCCTCTCCCTCTCCCTCTCCCTCTCCCTCTCTCTCCCTCTCCCTTTCCCTTTCTTTTTTCCCTTTCCCTTTCCTTTTCCCTCTCCCTCTCCCTTTCCTTTTCCCTATCCCTTCCCCTTCCCTTTCCCCTTTCCCTTTTTCCCCCTCCCCAGCACCGCACACCATGGACGAGCACAAGGGCTTCACCTCCACTGCCCAGAGCCAGCGGGCAGGGGCTGGGGTGCAGGCTGCCCTCGGCCAACGGCCAGCGGGCAGGCAGGAGCAGGCAGGAGCAGGCAGGAGCAGCTCACCGACCCCTCAGACCCCGGGGGGCTCAAAAACGCTTCCCTCGGCCTCTGAGCGTGTTTGGGACCGGGCTGGGGGTGCCGGCACACGCACACCCGCCGCAGCACCCGCCTCTCCAAGGCCTGTCCTAGCAATGGAACCAGGCCCAGCACCCATGGCCACATAACGCCGCAGCAGCCCCCGAGCCCGTGGGAACGGCGGCGCGGAGCTTGCCCTGCCCCGGCTCTGTTTAATCCTGGCTGGATGGAGGAAGGCGGCATCCCTCACCGTCACCTCGCCGCCGGCCTCGGGAGGCCGAGGATTAAGGCGGGCCGGAACGAGGCGAAAACAAGGATCGTCAGATCTCTGTCCAAGTCGCCTCCAAGGAGCTGGCGTGACCTCTCCCAGCTGCCAGCGCCGCTGGCTTGGGGTGCGGATGCAGGAGATGAAGAGCATCACTGGAGAGCATCACCGGAGAGCATCACCGGAGAGCATCACCGGAGAGCATTGCCAGAGTGCATCACCGGAAAGCATCACCAGAGAGCATTGCCAGAGTGCATCACCGGAGAGCATTGCCAGAGTGCATCACCGGAGAGCGTCACCGGAGAGCATCACTGGAGGGCATCACCGGAGAGTATTGCTGGAGAGCATTGCCAGAGTGCATCACCGGAGAGTGTCATCAGAGAGCGTCACCAGAGAGCACCACCGGAGAGCATCACCAGAGAGCATCACTGGAGAGCATCATGTCACTGGAGAGCATCACCGGAGAGCATCACCGGAGAGTGTCACCGGAGAGCGTCACCAGAGAGCACCACCGGAGAGCATCACCAGAGAGCATCACCGGAGAGCATCATGTCACTGGAGAGCATCACCAGAGAGCATCACCGGAGAGCATCATGTCACTGGAGAGCATCACCGGAGAGTGTCACCAGAGAGCATCACCAGAGAGCATCACCGGAGAGCATCGTGTCACTGGAGAGCATTGCTGGAGAGCATCCCTGCTCTCACCCATGCCGGCTGCCACCCTACCCCTTGCCTCACCGATGGAAAAGGGGGCCGCTGCTTGCTGGCCCCTCCCCAGCGGCAGAGGGGACACCCAGGCAATGCCACGCAAGCCGGGTGGCCGCCGGGTCCCACAGCAGAGCCAGATGCTGCACTTCAAACCGGGGTCACATCCCGCTGCCCTCGGGGCAGGCGCCGAGCCCTCGCCCTGCCTGTCTGCCTGCTCCTGCCCTTCATCTGCCAGACACCCCTGGCTCCCTCCCGACATGCCAAATCTCCCCATTCCTCACGCATCGGCCGGTCAAGGACGGCATTTTAGGATGCAAGCCCTGAGCGCTGCCCGCAGGCCCCGTCCCTGCCAACAGCCTCGCTGAGCATCCCGCTGCCTGCTCCTGCCTGCCCCGCACCGCCGCAGCCTCCACAGCTATATTTAGCCCCGTTTCCCCGGGGAAGGGAGTTTATGAGCTCTTGCGGCACGTCCAAGCGTCCGTCAATCTGCCAGCTCCCCCTTCCCCGGCTTTAGCGGGCGCTGCCTGATGGCCGGCACGTCTGAGGACGGAGGGAAGGTCGCTGGGATATGAAATCCGGCTGGTGGGGAGAGGGAGACCCCGGGAAGGCGGCAGAGAGGGTGAAACCCCCCGAACCCTTCTTCCACCTGCGGTTTCATCCGCCGCAGGAAGGAAAGGCGTCGGAAAGGAAGGCTTGGCTGCTGGGATGCTGCAAAGTCCGGGCAGCTGCCAGGTTCAACGGCGGCTCTGTTTGCCCCG